ACTACCACTACTCCTGCTGCTGCTGCAGCTGCTGCTGCTACTGCTACTACTACTACGACGACGACTACTACTACTACATACTACTACTGCTAGTACTACAATTACACGTCTGCGGTACAGACTGAGCAGACACACCTTCTGTCACTTGCACCTCCACAGACGAGATGCCCGCTGCCCAGCTGGAACCTCGGATTGTAGTCAGCAGGTATGCTGGTGAAACGGATGTTCGCAATGACAACAATCTGAGGGCTACTGTTAGTTGTACAAGGCACGGGCATAGCAAGCCCTTCTTACTCCTACTGGTATAAGTATCATCAAGTATCTTTATGCAGCACACGCTGTAAGAGGAGTTCGTTCTGGGAGACTTTACGCCGTAAGCCTTCACCCTTGAGCCCTAAATCGAGCCCACAATCAGGTGCTGCTGAGCGACGTGCTCCACGTGTTTCGCCGCGTGTACGGCGTGCAGGTGCGGGCTACGACGACTCCCCCCCCATTGCATGCTTGCAGTTACGAGTTGTTTTCGCAGAGCCTGCTCTCGTGTATATCTATATCCCAGATCGAACTTTGTGATCGGAGGCAAACGCCCTCGAGATCATCACCGTCCATGGTGGCTGCCTGTACTTGTGCTTCGAGGTTCGCAGACTGCACAGCAGCTTCCTTCAACCTGACACCCAAAGTCCAAAGCGCAACACCCAGATCCCTGCAGATGAAAATGTGAAGCTTCAGCCCTTGTGAGCGCGTTGTTTGCAGGCCCGAGGTCAGTGTGAACAGGTGTCCTCACTGCTGGAGGAGCGGTTCGTTTTGGGGACTTGTGCAATGGTTGCTAGCTGGGAATTCTGAGGAGCAGCTTTCTGAGAACACATCCTTTTCATTTTGCAGACACGCATAGTAATAGGTGCTCGAATCGCGGTCTCCTTGAACGAGACAATGTTTTGCCAGGAGCAGCGGCGTGTGCTTGCTTCCCAAGGCACAAGCCCCTCTGCACAGCTGCTGAGGCCTCCAAGCATGCGGTCGCTGTGTGATTTCGGCGCTTAGTGAATCAACGTTGAATGCCTGTATTGTACCGACATCCTCATTGTTATGTTTGCCATGGTCTCGGACAAAGTCTCACAAACTTCGCTGCTGACTATGTGTCCGCATCGACGAAAGTCGTTGTTGTGATTGTTCAGCTAGGTTCTTCAAGCAACACACGAAGCATGTCTTCTGTCGTGGACATTGGAACTCTGAAGGATGTCGTGCCTGATCGATGCTATGCCTGTGCGCGTGGAGCAGGTCTACGCTGACCGATGCAGAGAACATCTTGCAGAACGTTCGCAAGATGTTCCTTGACGGCAAGTAGTAGCAGCTACTTGATGCTACTAGTAACAGCCTGCATCCCTACAGATGCCCGAGACCTGCCCCCGACAACATGCAGCCCGCAATTCTGCCGGTTCCCCAGGACCGCCCTCTGGCAGAGTGGATTGCTCTCGAACTTCCACTACCTAGACTTCCTGAACTGCGCGGCGGGGCGGTCCAGGTCGGAGTCTCGGGTTTGGCTCCAGGCTCCACCCGAAACTCCTAGCAGCGGTGTGTTGTAGCCTTACTACAATCAGCCTACTTGGAAGGTTGTGCGACTCATGAAAGAGTCGCAAAGCCTTCCAAGTAGGCCGCCGTGACATGAATGGAGGAAGAGGGTACCGATCCGTCGAAGCATGCAGGTCATGCGAGTGTCGCCTGTGCTTGCTCTTTGCTGGGGTTCGGTCGGGCGCCAGGAACGACTTCTCTCAGTATCCAGTCTTTCCCTGGGTGCTTGCCGACTACAGCAGCCCACAGCTGAATCTGGAGGCGCCGGAGGGCTGAGAGGGACTCGGGAAGCGAAAAGGCGGGACCCACACAGTGACCAAGTTTGATGAGTGTCTCTCGGGTTTTTCGGTGGCTGGGCAGCTACACTTCTCTCTCGTTCTGACGCCTGAGAATCAGGCTTCTTCACAGAATGACAGGCATCTTGTACTATCCATCATGCCAAACGGAGGAGTGACAGTGCAGCTCTTTGCTCGCTTGCAACGTGTTGGCCCCCCACGCGTTCGCAGCTGTAGTTGGTCGCCAGAGCAAAGTACACCAGGCAACACTGTCGGTTGAAGGGATGCTGGCACGAGCGTCTGCAGACCACTTGTCCCCAGTGGGTCCCCAAATGCACGGGCCCTTGCAGAAAGAAGTAGGTCGGCGTCGCGGATTCTCTCCGGTTCGAAGGAGTATGCGAGATGGGTCGCCCACCGCCCGAACACCTCACGCGCTGAATCCCCTTTTGTTTCGCCTGGCTCCGGATCTGCGCGGAAGGACACGCGTTCCTACCGCGACCTGACGAAGCCGGTGGGAGCGTTGTCCGAGATACTCGGACCAGGGTTAGACTATATATTATACTATACTATATAATACTATATTATACTACATTACACTATATTACACTATATTATAGTTGTATATTATCTTGAATTCTGTTATGTTGCTGTATGCAAGTTTAGTCCAGGATTGTCTGCTAGTACAGAACGACACTGGACATGAATCCCTGCTAGCAGTTCCAACTCTGACGTATGTGTGTATTTTTATGATTTTACATGTGATTACATGTGTATGTGCATGTGTGTGTACGTGTGCACGTGTGTGTTTATGCGAATGTGTACCTACGTGCAAGTATGTATGTGTATATGTACAGGTAAATGCATGATATGTCTCGATAAAAGGTGAGATGCCAGATTCGATTAGAATTGTGTACTTAACGGCACCACAGACTTTTTGCTACCATCCTTTATTGTTGCACATGGATAACAAACCGACTGATGAACTAGCTGCTTGAACAATGACATCGATGCACCCCCCCCCACACCCACTTGCCTGTTTAAGTGGTTACAAATACATGCATTGACTCGGGCTAGTTTCCCCTGGTGAATGGCCAAGGTTTACGCATAGTGCCTTTCGGTAGCGCTCTCGAGCGAAGAACATACTTTGTCACAGAAAACAAACCGGAAGAAGTCTACAGGATATATAGTATCAGGTTATGTAACAGGTATTGAGAAGTATTTTCAGACCAGGTCAGGAATGAATGCTTAAGCATTTTGAGGCAGGGCACGTGAGATTCAGAAGTTGGACTAGTGTACCTTAACATGATTTGGATGGAGCACCCCTGATGGGGTTCTGATTATAGCCATAAGACAAAAAGGCCCCAAAACCTCATGCTAATCATTAAGGGTCTCTCTGACCTTGAGAAACTGGCAATGAGTTTCGACGCAGCCCTTGGGCTGGGCACGAAGCCTAGGAAGCGTTTGAGCTACTTCCGTGAGCGCATGGCCGGCATGGACGGGGAGGCAGGGTCTGGATGGGAGCAGTCGCGACACTCGCTGTGTCTAGTTCTAAACCGGAAGTAAATTCCGGCTGTCAGACAAACTATGCCGAAACATGCTTCATGTTTCACTATCACTGGCTGGAGATTCGTTTTCGTGCTTGCCACCCTCTTTTAAACACAGCCAGCTGCGCTGATGCAAGTCAGAACTCAGAGTGCCGGGAGGATCCGAAAAGTAGATCACTTAATTGGGTTCCTATAAAGTACCCTTGAGTCGTCTAGGGCCCCAAACCAGGATGCTACTTTCACGAGCCTTTCGGGGGGGCATCTGAGTCACCGGCTTTCAGCCCTCAAGCTGTTTGCGTTGTAGCAGTGCCTCCGCCAGGACAAGTTCCTTTATGGGACGCATTACTCCACACCTGCGTATGTGATCTACTGGCTGCTGCGAGCTATGCCGGAGAGACACCTGGTAGCAGGTGAGTGAGATTGATGCTGACCATTTCACCTGTCAGGTCAGGGATATTGACAAATTGAGGATCTCTAAACACACTCAATGGATCTTTGTGTAGTGCTTTCGCTTTAGCCCACCTTACTTAGGATTCGCATAGGACATATTTGACAGATCGTCAGAGCTGACAAGCGATCCCCAGGGATGCTGCGCTTGCACAACGGGCACTTCGATGCTCCCTGGTTGAGTATGTGGGCAGACATGCCCCTGTAGATGCGTGTTGCGATGAATGTGGCGATCTTGCATCCGTAGCAATCACTCGTGCCTGGAGCCAGTCGGAGCGACCAGGGTCCCTGTTGAGTCCTGAACTTTGGACTTCTAACTACCTCTCCCGACTTCAGTCCTTTTGCCACATTGGCCTTGCTGGCACAGCATCCGAAGCACTTCTCAGGGTGACCCTAAACCCTAAACCCTAAAGCATCTGAAGCACTTCTCAGGGTGACATGAACACCCCGAAACCCTTGATCAATGATCTCAACCAGGCCTGGGCTCGGCTATTCAGATCTGTCCCGGAGTCGTGGCAATCCGTAAACGCCTGGGGCTGAGAATGTGATTGTTGTTGTTGTTGTTGCTGTTGCTGTTGGGTGGTGATGTTGGCCGTCGTCGCATGGTGTTTGTTGTTTGTGTGTTTTCTTGTGCTAGTGCGACCCCACCGCCACCGCCACCGCCACCGCCACCGCCACCGCCACCCCCCACCCCCACCACCACCACCACCACCACAACTGGTGCTGCTGCTCCTACGACGACGACGACTACGACGACGACGACTACTACTAGTACTACTACTGCTGCTGCTGCTCCTGCTGCTGCTGCTGCTGCTGCCGCTGCCGCTGCTGCTGCTGCTGCTGCTGCTCCTGAGTTTGAGTTCTTGGGTTAGAGATGAGTTGCAGTGCAGCGTATAAGATATCTTGGAACTTTGAGCACTGGGCATAGGCTGCAGGACCACCGCGGGCGATGTGCTTGTAAGGAAGCGGGGCTTCTCGAGGTTTTGAGTGCAAGGATCAAGGATCCAGGGATTGGTAGGCTTGGTGTTCAATCAGTCTTGAGAATCAAGAGTCCCAGTAATCTCAAATAGCTGGTGATAGGGACAGCTTCACGATTTAGTGTGGCCTGCTTGAACCACAAAATTTCTGCAGTCACGTTTCCGCAAGGAAAGCACTGCTTCGTTGATGGAATTGATTCCGGAGTTTTTCGTCCTCCCGGCAGAATGGCCGTCAAGCCGCATCTATGATGCCTAAAGGCATGCACACATCCAGTCGTTAAAAAATACATGCATACATACATACAGACAGGCAGACAGACAGACAGACATACATACACACATACAAGGCGCTGAGATGGCACAGCAGCTGTCGAGTCAAGACATAAGGAACATAAGTTGGTAGATTTGTTGAATATTTGCATTCTTTCATTGTACACATGTGCGTTTGAGCACTGCCAAACATGACCGACCAGTAGACAATGGTTGCATCGGTCGGTGTCGTTCATAGCGGTGGTGAGGGGAGAGTACCAGCAGCACCAGCAGATACCAGCCGCAGCAACAGCAGCAGCAGCAGCAGCAACAGCAGCATCACCAGCATCAGCGGCATCAGCGGCATCAGCAGCATCAGCACAGTAGCAGCGGCATTGGCAGCATCATTAGTAGCTAGCATTGGCAGCATCACCAGCAAGCAGCAGCATTAGCAGCTGTACAGTGTCAAAAGTATCACCAGGACTGTGGAAGAGAGGTTTTCAAAGTCAGCGTATTTTATGCTACATACAGATTTTCCTGTGACACGCTTGTTTATGTTTGAAATCGTGTCAGTACAGAAAACACATTGACGTAGCAATATAAACTGTAGAAGTGGAGAGCACAGAGAGAGCGAGAGAGAGAGTCGCGAGCTCGATACCGCCGGCCTCATCGTGGAGCCAACTTTCACCAAAGGCAAAGACCCAGTGCGCGCCCGCGC